AAGACAAGAAACAACTAGTGTTGGCGAGGATGTGGAGAAAAGGGAACCCTCACACACTGTTGGTGGGAAGGCAAACCGGTGCAACTACTGTGGAAACAGTATGGAGGTTCCTCAAAAAATTAAAAATAGAATTATGATATGATCCAGTAATTCCACTACTGGGTATACAAAGAAAACAAAAACACTCATTGAAGATATATGTACCCCTGTGTTTACTGCAGCATTATTTACAATAGCCAAGACATGGAAGCAGCCCAAATGTCCATAAAGAGATGAATGGATATGGATAGAATATTACTCAGCCATAAAAAAAGAACAAAATTTTGCTATTTGCCACAACATGATGGACCTAGAGGGTATTATGCTAAGTAAAAGTCAGACAGAGAAAGACAAATACCATATGATTTCATTTGTATGTGGAATCTAAAAAACAAAAGAACAAACATAAAAACCAGACTCTTAAATACAGAGAACACCCTGGTGGTTGCCAGAGGGGAGATGGGTGGAAGGATCAGCAAAATAGGAAAAGGGGATTAAGAGGTATGGACTTGTAGTTATAAAATAAGGAAGTCACAACAATGAAAAGTATAGCACAGGGAATATAGTTAATAATACTGTAATAACATTGTGTGGCGACAGATGGTGGTTACACTTACCATGGTGAGCACTAAGTCATGTACAGAATTGTCAAATCACTATGTTGTACGCTTGAAACTAATATAACATGGTACGTCAGCTATACCTCAATAATAATAAAAAAAGAAAATGACTTTATAAATGATAACCCCCTTGTTCCTCTCTCAAACAGCAGGTAGAAATGACAAGGTGTGCACTTATTTCATTAAATTATTGATGAGCCCTGGGTCCTCATGGAATGGCTTGGGCTCCACGGACCCTTGAAGTGCTAGGTCTCAAAACTTGCTTGTTGGGTGATACCGTCTTTTTAAATTTTTATTTATTTATTAGATTTTATTTTATTTATTTTGAGAGAGAGTGAGAGAGCACAAGCAGGGGGAATGGCGGGCAGAGGGAGAGGGAGAAACAGACCCCCCGCCAAGCAAGGAGCCCGATGTGGGGCTGGGATCACGACACTTAATTACTGAGCCACCTAGGTGCCCCTGGGTCATACAGTCTTATGGAAACCATATCTCAGATTCTGTATAAACCCTCTACCCCATTACACGCCACATATCTCCCTCATTCCATTCAAACAGATCACCTTAGATTCCTCTATATCTATTTGCACATGGCCTGCTCATCCTGGCACTGTGGTGTCACTTGGGATGTTCCTGTAGGCTCCTTCTCCTCCATTTTTATCAATTACATGCTTCCCACAAGTCCCCACTCAAAGCTTTGTTCTGCATGAAGTCTTTTATGGGAGAGTAGGGCCTATCTTTTCTTTCTTTGCTATTTTTCTGCACTTAAGAATAAAGTTGGGTTTCAATATTCATTTAATACCTCCTATGGTTTGGGGAAGGCAAAAAAGATTCATTCATAGACCCTCAAGAAGTGGAAAAGAGAAGTGCACAAAAGTAATGCATTCTGAGGCCAAGAAGAAAAGAACAAGCTTTATGGCTATCCAGAGGAAATCACAGAAAAAGGAGGCTGTTGAGCCGATTTTGAAGGATGCAGATTTTAAGCTGTGGGTGAAGGTAGGAAGCTCGCTTTCTTTCTTTTTTTTTAAGATTTTATTTATATGACAGAAAGAGACACAACGAGAGAGGGAGCACAAGCAGGGGGAGTGGAAGAGGGAGAAGCAGGCTTCCTTCGGAGCAGGGAGCCTGAGATTCAGGGCTTGATCCCAGGACCCTGTGATCATGACCTGAGCCGAAGGCAGACGCTTAACGACTGAGCCACCCAGGCGCCCTGATAGGAAGCTTCCTAGGCTGAGAGTAAAGCTGGTTATAAAGTGGTCACACCTACAGAGACATATGAAAATGTATTTGGGGCTGGAATAGGAAGCATTCTAGACTGGTTGGGAAGAGACCAGTTGAGGCACCCTACAGAGGCACCCTTACGATGTGCACAGTGGAACGCGAGCCCAGCTTTGAGCCTGGGATTTCAGGATAATAATTCTGGCAGGAAGAAGGAGGGGAGTTTGGATAACGGCATTATTGGAGGAAGGAATACAGATCAGGAGGGTTCCAGGCAGAAGAGGAGCACCGCAACTTAGGCAGCAGTTGGAAAGGGGCAGCCCATTTGTCAGCATCCAGTGTATAATTGCTTCTTTGCGATTCTGGAATTTCAAAGGCTGAAAACTAATAGTTTCTTCTTAAGTTTGCAGAAAATTTATTTTATGGAAAACGTGACCTAAACTGATGTGATGATATTTATGGTCTTTTTTTATCCTACTTCATGGATCAAAAGATGGCCACCATTCATTTCTGCTTCTCCCAGCCAGAGGTGGTATCTCTTTCCCCTGTTTGAATCTAGGCTGCTCTTGTCACTGGCCTTGACCAATAGAATGTGCTGGAAATGGTTCTGTGTAGCTCTCAAGGCTGGGCCTTAAGACATCTACAACTTCTGCTTTTGCCCCTCTTGGAATGTTCTGGAAGACAGTCGCCATGTAGAAGTCCAGCGACTCTGAGCCTACCATACTGTGAGGACACCCAGGTTTCATGAAGAGAGAGAGGCTACGCAGAGGAGCACTGAAGTGCCAGAATGGGAGCCAACAGAATGTCAGCGAAGCCTTTTTGGACTCTCTAGAACTGCCCAGCCATCAGCTGAAAGCTGCTGAGTGAACGACTCCATGCAACACAACACCGAGCAGAAGAAACTGTCAGCCAAACCCTGCCCAAATTCCTGACCCCCAGATTCATGAGCAAATAAGATGGTTGTTATTTTAAACCACTAATGTTTTGGGAGCGTTTATTACATTGCAAGAGATAACCCAAACACACACGTCATTTATATATTTTTTATGGCAGAAAATGACTGCATTTGATGAAAGAGCCACTCTAGACCTCACCAAGGGTGTTATGTAGGATATGGCCTGTGTGTATTTTACTTTTTTAAATTAAAAAAAAATCTGAATTTTGAAATTCACCTGGGCCCAAGGGTTTTTTTTTTTTTTTTTGAGAAGGAATTGTCCTTTGTATTACAGAAATAGAGTTGTCTAGACTTCCTTCCGGTCTTCCTTGCATTCACTAAATGTCATGCGTGATGCCATAGACTTTTTCCCAGCCACTTTCTATGTGCACCCCTGATCTCCCCAGCTGCATGGCCAGGTTCTCTGAAGCAGAAGCTCTCAAACTAAAGTGTGTATCAGAGCTCCTTAGAGGGCCGGTTCAAACACAGCTTCTTGGGCTCTGTCCTCAAGAGTTTCTGACTCAGTGGATCTAGGGTGGGGCTTGAGAACTTGCATTTCTGACAAATTCCTAGGTGAGAGAACCATTGCTCTAGGGGGGAGTGCCATTATTTCCATTTTTGTTGCATTTACCCACCAGCACAAGGTGCTTAGTAAACTCTCATGGATGGAGTTTCTCCAAATCCTCATCTTTATAATGCTGTTGAAGCCTTAACTTTTACTCCCTGAGGTAATCCTGACAAGGCCCTAGACTTAAAAAGAAACGAATTCCTTGTTTTATTAGATTCAGTTTTTCTTTCTTCTCAACTGATAGGACATGGTGAATAAAATGTCCCTTCTGACCTCTTTTTTGATCTGTCTTGGAGCAGATCAGAGGGAAGGCCTTTCCTGTGACCTGGAAGCAACCCTCTATTTGTGACCAAATTATTATTCCTTTCCTTTTGGTGGTTTCCGAATAAAATTCGGTTCTTGCCAGCCAGCCTTTTACAAAAGAGAGGGAGGGACCACCCAGAAGATCCTCTTTTTGGCGAGAGGACCAGTCTCTCAGAGCCTGCATTTTACAGGTGGCACCACTGAAGCCGAAAGGGGTGGAGCCCACTGGCTCAGGGTCATACAGCTGAAACATGCAAGTGCCGCGTTGGAGCTCAGGTCTAACTTGACCCCGTAACAAGCTGTCTCACTCACGCGGCACCCTCATCCCCTCCCCCATCCCAGAAAAGCACAGCCCGTTTGACTTAACCCACAACTTTCAACCTTCCACCCCCCCAAACATTTCCTTCCGAGTGCGAGGGGATGGTCACACCGATTCATCCTGAGCGGGAACCCCCCCCCCAAAACTCCCCCGTCCAGTCTCCGGGCCAGGCGCCGTCACCTAGACTCCACGAATCCCCGATAGAGCCACTGCGAGCGCCTGGAAGAGTCTCGCCCTCGAAGCCCAGAGATTAGGTTGGTTCCTCAAATTGTTCCCGACAGGAGGGGCAGGAAATAACGCCGGCCCGCGGTGGCGGCCGCAGAGGGAGGGGGAGAGGCTCAGGCTGGCTCCCAGGCAGTCGCGGCGGCCTCGCATCGATCTCGGGTCTAAGGTCCGGCCGGGTCAGAGTTCCGGCGGCTCTTTCTCGCGTTGGAGTCACCTCCCGACCCCCGGCCTCTGTTATCGCGCAGTGGGTGGCTCCCGGGGCCTCGGAGCCCCTCAGGGGCCCCGCTTTCCCGGCGGCCGCGCAGCCCCGGCCCCGCCGCCAGGTGGAAGGAGACAGGTCAGCGGAGCAGCCAGCACGAGGGGGCGGGGCCTGGCGGAGGCTGGGCGGGCGGGTTGCAGCAGGCGCCCGGGACCCCCCGCGCCCTCTCCTCCGCGCGGCCAGCCCCGCGACCCTGGCCGCACTGTCCCCTGCAACAGGTGAAGAGGCAGGCGGCAGACCCGCAGCGCCTCCGCGGGGCGGTCCTTCTCCAGCCCGCCTCACGCCCGCCCCTCTCCACGCCCCCTCCCCTCCTCCCGGCCTCTGGCGCCTAGCTCGGCCGCCCGGCGGTCTCCCCTAGCGCGGTCTCCTCCTCCTCCCGGGCCCCAGCGCAGCCCGAGAGCCCCGCGCCGAGAAGCGGGGGGCGCCGGGCACTCGCACGACACGCGCCGCGGCGGGACAGTCCCGGGGGGACGCCCCCGGCGCGCCTCCCTCCCCGCGCCCGCAGCGCTCCCCTCCCCCCCGCCGGTGTCCCCAGGGCTCCGGGCCGCCAGGGCAGCGCCAGACGCGCGGGGGGTCCCCGAGGAGGGGCCAGCCCGGCCGAGGCGCGGCGATGGAGGAGCCGCAGCGCGTCCGCTCGCAGACCGTCACCACCACTGCCAGCTCCTTCGCCGAGAACTTTTCCACCAGCAGCAGCAGCTTCGCCTACGACCGGGAGTTCCTCCGCACCCTGCCCGGGCTCCTCATCGTGGCGGAGATCGTGAGTGCCGAGCGCGCGCGGTTGGGGGTGGGGGGGGCGGCGCTGGTGGACTCGGGCGTCGTGCCTCCGCAGACCCGCTTCCAGGGAACCCTTTTTGCTCAGTCTCGCCTTCTTCCCAGAGTGCAAAACTCAGAGACCCCCTCTTCGAGCGAGGCCCGATCACCTTGCGCTCTTCTGGGCAAGAGGGTCGTGACCCTCAGGATGTCTGCTGGGGGAGAGACCCGACTTGCTGGGCCCTCTCGGTGGTCGTGGCGTCTCTTGGGAGCGGGATGCTTGGTGGGCGTGGAGTTTGTTTTAATGACTGTCATGGACACCTGATGTCTCCCTTCCCTCATCTCCACGTGGATGGCTCCTCCCTGAAAGCAAAGCTTTCTAAAATATAGGGGAGCGGAGGGGACTTTTTTCTTTGCCTATTTATCTCCCTGGTAGTAAAATTGAGGTGAATTAAGAAACTTTTCCTGCGTAAAATCTGAGGGTTTCAGCCCCGTTGAGGACCAGAAGTTTTCCTGCCTGGTTTAGGCTCAGAACATTCCTGGGGAGGAGGCCTGCCTTGGGCATTCTCCTCTTCATAGGACATGGAGGCTAAGAGATCAAGTGATTTCTCCTGAAGTCCCAGCCAGTCCTTCTTGGCTGGAGCCCTGTAAACAGCTAGTGATGGCTACTGTTTATTGACCTCACCATGGGCAGGGGTCCTCTCAAGACCTTTAAATGCCTTTGTGCCCTCATGTAACCCACACAACAGCCCTACCCTGTAAAGGTGGCTTCAGTTATTCCATTTTACATGAGAAGAAACTGAGGCAGAGCGAGGGGAAGTCAGTCATACCTGGGGGTGGTGGGACTGCGATTCAACCCCAGGCCAGCCTGACCCCAGGGCCCTGCTCTTAACTGCTAAGGGGTATCCTTCCCAGCTGTCTCACCAGTCCCCTTTCCATTATATGTCACACACATTCATTTACGCATTTGTGGAGTTGAAATCTAGCTTATGTGGGGTTAGAGAATGCGAGCTATGGTGATATAGATGTGGCAGAAGACTCAGATGCTTTCTCCGAGAAGCCCCCAACAAAACCTGTGTACATCAAGTAGCTTCCCTGCTCCTCGGAAATCTCAGACCCCACCCCAGAATCTACTGAATCGATTCCCCTGCACATAAAGTTTGAGAAGCGTTGGCTCAGCTCAGCCCCTAGCTGGTTCCCGCAGTTGGTATTGAGGACTTCAGGAGACCCAATAAAAAAAACTAAGGTATTGGACTCACCTTGCAGGGCCTGGCTTATAGGAATTCGACAAATATTTGCTGTGTGAATGAAGTAGTTGGCAGGCTTCCCTGCTTGAGCAGAACAAACAAAGCTAAAGTCAGAGATGGGGGCTTCTCCCCCAGGGGTGGTTTCGGATCAGGAATGAAGTAAAATGCCTCTTGTTTTCTGATTTCTGACCGATGTGCTCTATGTTCCATGCTTTTTCAGAAAATAGAAAAGTGAAGGACAAAATGTAAATGGCCCACAATCCCATCCCTAGAAATAACCACGAGTGGTTGATACTTTGGCATGTATCTTTTTAGATCTCAATAAATTGTTTTAAGATGGAAAAACAGGTAAGAAAAATTACCCATACCACTACAATAGTTCAATTTTTATTTTTGACAACTATACATGCACGTTTTATTTATTTATTTTTTTAAAGATTTTATTTATTTATTTGAGAGAGAGAGAGAGAGAGAAACAGCATGAGAGGGGAGAAGGTCAGAGGGAGAAGCAGGCTCCCCGCTGAGCCGGGAGCCCGATGCGGGACTTGATTCCGGGACTCCGGGATCATGACCTGAGCCGAAGGCAGTCGCTTAACCAACTGAGCCACCCAGGCGCCCCATGCAGATGTTTTTAAAGAGTCAGTGTTAACAGGCAGAGTTGTAAGTTTGCCCCCGCGTCTCCTCACTTTCCAATCTCTTAGAGCCATAAACGTTTATAATCTGTTCCTTGATTTTTTCCCCCCAGTTGTAGGTGTTATCCACTGGCTTCCGCCTCTGAGAGAAGAGGCTTTAGCCCTCTTTGACCCATCCCCCACCCTGTATTATACATATAGCCTTCCTGTCTCCCACAATATTTTGGGTGAGATTAATAACCAGTGTAGTGTTGACCTTAGGACACCATAGACATTGTTCTCAGTTGAGCCACTGAGTGGTCTATGAGCCCTTTTCCTTTCCTGCCCAATTTGTTTCCCTGGAGTCGGTAATTTTCTTTTTCCATTTCTTCATTCTCTAGCTGTTTAATCACTAATTTTACCTTAATTGTCAAAATCTATCAGTCAAATGAGAGACATCTGGGAGTCTATCGAGGTCATCTCATGACCAATCCTGTCTGGGAGCCTCTGACTTGCCCGTTCCCCCCCCCCCCCACCCGGCCTGCTCACCTGGGCATGGGGTCTCCTGCAGCAGCACCCTGGAGAGTCTTTCTCTCCCCTTCTCTTCTGGGTTGGGTCCCCTGCTTCTCCTGACCAGTGTCCCTGTCTGTTTTGCCTTCCTCCCAGTGGGGGGACCACACAGACTTTAGTCGTTTCCTGAGAAAGGATTATGTGTGGATTGAGATTTACGTCTTCCAAAACACCTTGAATTGACTGTTACACATAATTAATAGTTTGACTAGGTAAAGAATGTTAGATTGGAACTTGTTTTCCTGCAGAATTTTGAAAGCAGTTCTCCATTATCTTTGAGCTATTCTGTTTTTTGTTTTCATAAATTTCAATTCTTCATCCTTTCCTTTCCTTTCCCTTCTGGATCTTTCTCCTAACAGATCTGTCAGATCACACTAATGTGCTTTCCTCTGAGGCCATTTTCTTCCATTATAATGAGGACCTCATGTCTTCTTTCAATCCAGAAAGCTCATGTATATGTAAGGAGATTTTTTTAAACTGATTTTTACCTTTCTGTTTTCTGGTTTGGTTTTTTTTTTTCCTGAAACTCCTTTTATCCTTTTTTTCTATGCATATATTTTCTTGTAATTTTACTCAGGGGTTCGGACATGCCGTGTTCAATTACCATGCCATAAACATTTCTCAGGATCTCGGATTTCTCAGTTATTATAGTTTCTGTTGTAAGGAAGTACCGTATTTGATTTCCTCCATTTCCATATTTTGGGGGTGCCTGGGTGGCTCAGTTGGTTGGGTGTCTGCCTCTTGATTTTGGCTCAGATCTCAGGGTTGTGGGATCGAGCCTGCACTGGGCTCTGTGCTGGGTGTGGAGTGTGGAGCCAGCTTGCGATTCTCTCTCCCTCACCCTCTGTCTCCCGCCCCCCCCCACTCATCCACAGCGCACACGTGCGCTCTCTCTCTCTCTCAAAAATGAATAAAAGTTCAAAAAAAATAAAACCTAACATGTTTCTAGGTTTTACTAGTATAGCTAGTGCTATGGCAATTTTCCTTCTTTGTCCCTCTTTCCACATTTATCCAGTGATTTTTTTCAAGGAAAAGTTCTTTTTTTTTTTTTTTTTGGAAAAGTTCTTTAAAGTACAATTGTATGTCAAAGAGTGCACAAATTTAAGGGTTTTGTTACATATTCTGAAATTATTTTTCCACCAAGTTTTGCTGGTTTAAATTATTATCAGTAGTGAAAAGCTATTAAACTAAAAATACTTTTTTAAGTTAGGGGAATTTCTAAAATAAAAAATGTGAAGTATTATCTTAAATGATATATGCTTTCTTGATCTAAGATACTTTTTTGTTCATGTTTTAATGTCTAAATCGGGATGTGGCTTACCGTGGCTGGTTTCTTGAAGGTAATGCCATCCAGTACCACTGATTCTTTATGGGGGGTGAGGGGAGCAGGTTTCAAACTATTGCTGTCCCGGCGCGGACTGGCATTAAGATAGACCTGTGCCCAGAAGAATATTACTTTCTGCCTTGAAAAAACCCCAAATACTGAGACAAAGAATTGCTAAGACTCTGACTTCCTGCTTGAATCTGGGAGAAATGAAATAATTGAGAACAAAACACAATGTTTCCCCAAATCTGTTGTCAAATTCCCTAGCCCTGGCTTTCCCCCAGGAGTGAGTGGTCGTAACTAACCTACTCAAACACTTCAGGCTGTGCCAATGTAACATTGTGTTGAAACCAAATTGTAGTCATTTCCTTCCGTTTAAAGTTTTATAAAAGCTAGAAGCAATCCAGTACTTGACCTGTGACTTGTAGGATGCTGTGATCTTATGACAATTACGAGTACTTGAAGAATTAAAGTGATTTGTCAGAAGCTGAGTTAATTGCACCCTTCCTGTTATCGGTGACTTTGAAATGAATTACAGCATCGTGTAATAATGTTAGGTCACCTTTCATATGCTTACTGTCATGAGCAGACTTAGGTGGGGAAGGACAAATAGAGTTTACTGAGACCTGGAATCTAAATCATACTATCCTGTTGAATTCTTAAAAAACAAAAAACAGTGAACATAGTTTTCATTTCACAAAACAATACCTAGTCTTTGTAGAAAAATAGAAAAATGTAGTTAAGAAAAACCCCCTGTCATTCTAGCCCCCATGGTGGTTCCTAACAGGCATGGTACTAGGAGTGGATAGGATTAAAGAAAAAAAAATTGTTTATTGTAATACCTGAAGCTTCTGCTGGTGTTTAGTGCCCTGGGGGTCAGGGTCGCTAAATGTCCTGAAGTGCATGAGACAGTCCCCAACAATGAATTGCTTTACCAATTGCCAACAGCACCACTGTAAAAGAACTCTGAGTGAATCACTATTTAGCACTTGGAATAAACCATTCCAGAATTTTTCAAGTGGTTATGTATCATTTTTCTGTATTTTTTTTTTTTTTTTGATGCAGTCACTTGTAAACTATTCTTTGGTTTACTGCTATGGCCATCTGGGCTGGATATCTCCCATTTGTCCCTCAGATCCACTCTACACCCTTCTCCACTCTGTTCTCCACCCTGAAGGCTGACTTGCATGGACTGTCTCAAGGGGCTCCCCTCTGACGTTTCACTGGATTCATCCAAAAGTGGTACCTGCAGGGG